TTCATTTCAACTTTGGTGAATCTGACAATTATGTGTCTTGGAGTTGCTCTTCTCAAGGAGTATCTTTGTGGCGTTCTCTGTATTTCCTGAATTTGAATGTTGGCCTGCCTTGCTAGGCTGGGGAAGCTCTCCAGATGATATCCTGCAGAGTGTTTTCCAACTTGGTTCCCTTTCCCCCGTCACTTTCAGGCACACCAATCAGATGTAGATTTGGTCTTTTCACATAATCCCATATTTCTTGGAGGCTTTATTCATTTGTTTTTACTCTTTTTTCTCTACACTTCTCTTCTCACTTCATTTCATTCATTTGATCTTGAATCACTGATACTCTTTCTTCCAGTTGATCGAGTCTGTTACTGAAGCTTGTGCATTTGTCATGTAGTTCTCGTGTCACGGTTTTCATCTCTATCAGTTCTTTTAAGGTCTTCTCTGCATTGATTATTCTAGTTATCCATTCATCCATTCTTTTTTCAAGGTTTTTAGTTTCTTTGCGCTGGGTACATAATTCCTCCTTTAGCTCTGAGAAGTTTGATCGACTGAAGCCTTCTCTCAACACTTCAAAGTCATTCTCCATCCAGCTTTGTTCCGTTGCTGGTGGTGAGCTGTGTTCCTTTGGAGGGGGGGATGCACTCTGATTTTTTAAATTTCCAGCTTTTCTTCCCTGCTTTTTCCCCATCTTTGTGGTTTTATGTGCCTTTGGTCTTTGATGACGGTGACATACTGATGGGGTTTTGGTGTGGGTGTCCTTTCTGTTTGTTAGTTTTCCTTCTAACAGTCAGGACCCTCAGCTGTAGGTCTATTGGAGTTTGCTTGAGGTCCACTCCAGACCCTGTTCGCCTGGGTATCAGCAGCAGAGGCTGCAGAAGATAGAATATTGCTGAATAGCGAGTGTTGCTGTCTGATTCTCGCTCTGGAAGCTTCTTCTCAGGGGTATACCCCACTGTGTGAAGTGTGAGGTGTCAGTCTGCACCTAGTGGAGGACATCTCCCAGTTAGGCTACTCAGGGGTCAGGGACCCACTTGAGCAGGCAGTCTGTCCATTCTCAGATCTCAACCTCCATGCTAGGAGATCCACTGCTCTCTTCAAAGCTGTCAGAGAGGGGCATTTATCTCTGCTGAGGTTTCTCCTGCTTTTTGTTTAGCTATGCCCTGTCCCCAGAGGAGGAGTCTACAGAGGCAGGCCCGCCTCCTTGAGCTGTGGTGGGCTCCACCCAATTCGAGCTTCCCTGCAGCTTTGTTTCCCTACTTAAGCCTCAGCAATGGTAGGTGCCCCTCCCCCAACCTCGCTGCTACATTGCAGTTAGATCTCAGACTGCTGTGCTAGCAATGAGGGAGGCTCCGTGGGTGTGAGACCCTCTGGGCCAGGTGTGGGATATAATCTCCTGGTGTGCCATTTGCTAAGATCCTTGATTAAGCGCAGTATTAGGGTGAGAGTTACCTGATTTTCCAGGTGTTGTGTGTCTCAATTTCCTTTGACTAGGAAAAGGAATTCCCTTCCCCCTTGCACTTCCCAGGTGAGGTGATGCCTCGCCCTGCTTCAGCTCTTGCTGGTCGGGCTGCACCTGCGGACCAGCGCCAACTGTCCGATAGGCCCCAGTGAGATGAACCTGGTACCTCAGTTGAAAATGCAGAAATTGCCTATCTTCTGCATTGCTCACGCTGGGAGCTGGAGGCTGGAGTTATTCCTATTCGGCCATCTGGGGTGGGCCCCCCCAAAAAATATATATTTTGGGGGTAATTTCCTCTCTGGCTGTATCTTACACAGTATCAGGTAGGACTCTTGGTTACAAACAACAGACCTCAAATCTAGTTAGCTTAAGCAGAAAGGGAATTTGCTGGAAGGCTATCTATCCAGTAGCCTATGGAATTGTCAGAAGGCTGGAGAACCAAGCTCAGAAAAGCATCAGGAACGAGGGTCAGGGGGCAGAAGTACAGTGCAGGTCCACACCCCATACAGTCCCTGAGACCTGCTGCAGGTCCCTCCTCACTGCCTCCTACTCTCCTCTCAGCTCCTCCAGCTTTCCAAGGAGAAATCTCTCTCCTCCTGAAGCCTCTCTCTCATGTCCTGGAATCTTGAGTTCAGGGTGGAGCACTGGTGGCCGGATGAAGGTCAGCAGCCTGCTGTTCTGTTTCTAGGGAGTGACAGGAGGTGTCCTTCCTGGCTCTCCAGACGGGAAGTGGCTTCTGCCAGAGAGGGGTGTAAACACCTCTCTGCAGTGCTAGTAGGGACCAGGTATTCTCAGCGCCTCCAGCAGCCTGGGGGACTCAGCCTCCAGGACTGGAAAAAAGAGGGTGACATTCACATAAATGATTGCTTTTTGATAGGTAAGGAAACTGGGGCTTAAAAAGGATATGTGACTTACAGCAGACTACATTGCCAGCAAACCTGGGCTGTGAGGACTTGAGTCCAGGTCTTCTGAAACACCCGAGGGTTAGTTGGACAAGTATTACTTCCCTCCTCTGGGCTGGTGGCCTCTAAGGGGTACCTAGAGCAATCCTCTTGCTGGGACAAAAGCCCTTTCAACAAAGGGGCCTTTGTAACAAGCCTTTCTTTGTTTGGCCACCAGGCTGTTCCCTGGAGTAACTAAAGCCTGTAGTCCTTAGATATAAGGCTGGCTAACACTGCTTGACAGGAAAACAACAATGTGAGTTTGGGTGCCAATGCTAGATTGGAAATGCATGTCTTCCTGCTCCCAGACACCTAGGCATGAACCACATGGCTAGATGGTCCTGCCCCTCCTCCCTGGCCACTCTGCATAGAGGAGGACAGCACCCACTGGTCCTATAGGATGGGGACTAGTGGCACTCTCCTGGGCAGTGCCAGGCAAGTAGGCTGGCATGCAGCTTTACTGCTGTGGCCGCGTCTCTGGGACCTGTTGGTGGACATCTGGCTTACTGCTGCTCAGAGGAGAAAGGTCACAGCCTTCCACGGGTCCTTGGATATCAGGCGCTGCCCACCTGCATCTTATCCACAGTGTTCCCCTGGGGTGGGTTGGTACTGCTTTCCTTTGTCTGGGGAGATGTTCTCCCCTGGACTCCCTTGGGGTCTCAGGATACAGCATTAAAATTGGCTTATGTGTTTAGTCATCTTCTGTGAGACTGTACCTTTATGCTAAAGACCCCTCAACTAGAGGAGAAAAGACAAACTTGACTCTACCCAGAACTAGGAAGTTAACCTTTTATGAGAGTTGTACTGCTGGGGACCATGAAGGACACCGGAAATAAACTCTGTCTCTGCTCTCAGAGAACTTCAGATGTCTCTCAGTGCGGCCACCACTTGAAGGGGAAAAGAGAGAAACTTCTGTTTTTAAAGACAGTGCCCTGGATCAGGGCCTTCACAGGCTGAGAGCTCTGTGGGGGCCTTCACTCACCCTGTCCCCTGCAGACACCCAAGGTGCAGCTCATCTGCCAGCGAACAAAGACATTCCACGTATAGGTTAAAGTAGAATTTCGGCATTGGCAGAGTTAACATTCATAAATTAAACAACTTGTGTGTGCCCTCAAGGGCCCGTGGCAGGAGACGAGGTTTAATTGTGCTGAAGCACACATTTCTCTCACATGGGGTGGGTGAGTCACTTCACTACTGAGAACTGGGTACCAGGGTTTCAGCAGTTTTGGGCTCTTGGTTCCTCATCACCAAAGGCAATTTGTGGGGATGTTTATGTTTCAGCAGTATTTGAGAATCTGGGGAGTCATGAGCAGCTCAGGCTGGGTCTCCTGTTACGCGGGAAGTATCTGGTGGGGATGGTGCTGGGGTCTGGGAATCCCCCCTCGCCACGCCACTTCCCCTCAAGCCCACAATCTTCTGGAGCCCTCGGGCTTAGGATCAGGCTCTTTCAGGCTCACCCCACCTGTCAACCACCCGCCCCCAAGATGCACACAGCTGCATTGCCTGCAGAGAATTTAAAACCAATAATAAAATCGACTATGAGTCAGTTTGCTTTTTATTATCCCCATGCCAGTAATTCTAAACAATGTCAGTGATAAAATAATCCTCCCACAAATCTTTTGTTTGTCCACTTTCTAAACAATTGCTGTGGTAACTATTGAATTTTATTTCTATACATTCATATATATCTGTGTGCGTGTGTATACATATATTCCCATATATATATACGCACATACATATACATGCTTCAAATTAGCACAGTTAATTACTTATCCTTTTACTAATATTATAGTCTATGTGAAAGTAACTTAGGAGAACTTCCATTAAGAAAGAATAGTTCAAGATGGTTCGAACTGGCTTCAGGCACAGTGTGTGTCTCCAGCCCCTGTGGTAGTAAGTATGCCTGCATCTAAATAATCGATAAAGGATGATAGCACAGTGATTGCAAAGCCAAGATACAAAACCTGAGTTAATTTAATTCTGTCATTCTGCGCAACCACTTGGAATTTTAATTTGTGTTTGAAGTTTAGTAAATGCAAATTTTAGTTCATACATGAGATATTTGACTGGATTTGAATAATATCCTGAAAATTAAAATTTATTCTGTTTAAATTATTGTTTTAAAGCTAATGAATGAATCATGAGAGTAATAATAATTAATGATTATTACATGATTATCTCTGAAAGTAATTTTGTCCCATAGAGGAGTGTACTAAAAAATGATCAGTTTGGGGAGTCAGATATGTTATCTTGGCCACTGTCCATGGTGATGCAGATGACAGAAATTGTTCCAGTTTATTGAAACAGGAGAGCATTGATAATCAGGTATTAATTGGCCTATGAACATTTTGGAAGTGCTGAACAAGCAGACTCTAGTTGGAGCTTTCAGAAACAATTCCAGTTCCCAGGATGATGCTCTGATATTATTGAGGGAACATCCTTCCCCCACTGTCTGTGGCAGAGCCCACCATTCTGCCATGATCTGAGCCAGCAAAGTAAAGACTTCGTGCTGTGCCTCCCATCCTACTGACCTGGCTCTCAGTTGAGGTCTCACGCTAGTGGCTCTTATTGGCGGAACCCAATCCCATAAGAGACTCTACCTGCAAAGGAGGAAGGGAAAGTTAGTTTTTCATTTTCTGGTGTCTACAGTATAGACTGGTTCCCTGAGGAAGTTAGGAATGGAGGCTGAGTCAACTGGCCCACAGCATCCTTCACATCTACCCAACCGAGTTTCTACACTTGACCTTTTGGTCTCTAGATGGGGAAGAAGCTCCCCTGTCTGGCAGCCAGGTTCTGCCTCATGCTGGCTTCTGGAGAGAATGGCTGTCTCTGTAGTGAATAGTGAAGTGTGTCCAGCCCAGCTATTCTTTTTTTTTTTTTTTTGACAGGGTCTCACTCTATTGCCCAGTCTGGAGTGCAGTGGTGCAATCTCAGCTCACTGCAGCCTTGACCTCCCAGGCTCAAGTGATCCTCCCACCTCAGCCTCCCAAGTAGCTGGCACCACAGGTGCATGCCACCACATCTGGCTATTTTTTTTTGTATTTTTTCTAGAGATGGTGTTTCATCGTATTGCCTAGGCTGGTCTCAAACTTCTGAGCTCAAGCAATCTACCCGCCTTGGTCTCCTAAAGTGCTGGACATTACAAGCATGAGCTTGTACATTACAGGCACCCCGCCCAACCTCAGCTCAGCTATTCTTATGCTGTCTCTTACCATACCCCCACCTTCCCACACCCCATGGAACTTCTCTGCCTAGGCTCTCCTACTTGGAATCTTCTGGTGGTGCATTGTGAGTAATAGCTCCAAATCTTCTCTCCCTTAGCACACAGCCATCTCTTGAGTAAAGGCTGCTTCAAAATCCCCACAACTTTTCACAATGCCACCCCTAAACTCTGCCCCCAACTAAAGTGCATGAATCTTTATCATCATTCTTTAATAGCAACTTTTTTGGGGATTCTTCTCAATACATATTTGCAGACTAAATATAACTCTTGTCCTCAAAGAGTTTTCACCATCATTCTCATAACATTAAAAAATATTCTAATTTGCATCTATACTTGGGTCCCTAAATCTCAGCCCTCCTGTCCCTTGTAGGGGCAGTGGGTGTTTGTGGTGATGTTGGGATTGAGGAGTAGGTTCCATCCACAATGACTAGGCTAGAGGGTGACCCTTCAGAGAGGGGCAGGATGCAACTTTGGCATGGAAATGCCAGGTGAGGCCCAGGGAGGTTTGAACCCTAAGTCTGTTCTGTGGCCCAGGACGCAGGGCCCACATCAAAGACTGAAGCTCTGCTTACAAGGTAGGAGGAAAGAACATGCAATGACCTGAAACTGAAGAGGTTGGATTTCTTTCTGTCACAGGCTCTTAATAGCTGCATGACCATAGACCAGTCACTTCACCTCTCTAGGGAAGAAGGTTACTTCCAATGAAGATGGTGATTTACTTCTGAAGTAGTGGGACTGGGAAAAGAGGTGGCACATAAGGAAGGAGGAAGCAGGGTTTATGACACTGGGTATCTCCCTCCGGCTGCCTCTGGAGGAAAGACCTGAAACAGCACAGATTCCTCGCATGGCAGGCTATGCCTTGCTCTACCCCACCCTGCCCTCCGCCACCATCAGGACACTCAGAAGGAAATACATCCAGAATCCTGAGCTCCAATGTGGAGCGAAACCAAGGATGGAAGTGGGCCTGACAATATCTGGGCTAGAAGTCACATTTCCTCATTTCCTTTTGAACATGAAACCCTTTTCCTGAAAGGGTTCATTCTCTTCAAAGCACAGTTTCCTAGTGTCTGTCCTGCAGTGACACTTTCGCGCGCGCACACACACACGCACACACACATGCGCGTATCCATAAAATTGATTTAATTTCTTCCTGGGTTCTCATTTACCAAAATAACAAACCAACTAGGAAGTCTTTCCAAAGGAGGACATAGTCAAGATCAGACTCTTCTCTAAAGATACAGCTAATTCCAGCCAGCACATTAAGATTCTGAAGTTAAGAGTGCATTGTGAAATGTAAATCGATGTGACATTGTCAAACAAAATGACCTGTGGGCTTGGGAGGTTGGTGCTTGTAGGAAGAGGCCGAAGTGTGCATCTTAATCTTGATTTCCTTTGGGAATATTTCCTTTACTGTGTTCCTGACTCTGATTATGTTCTTGTGCAATCAAAACAGCTCTAGTCTCCAGGGCTGGACAGTTCCTTTTACTTTCTTTCTTTTCTATTCTTTCTTTCTTTCTCTCTCTCTCTCTTTTTCCCCACAGGACAAATTATTGTTGTTTTGATCAGTGACAACTGTTTGATTTTCTATTTTTTAGCTGTAAGTATGTACATGTGCACAAAATCCCATCCTATTAGGAAGAAAAGGAATGGATTTAAAGTCCTGCATGTCGTATAAATTATTTAATGCACAGGGGCCTTAGAAAACCAAAGTTCAGTGTTCAGGGGTTGACCTCAAAATGGCATGAACAATTCAATAAGCAAGCACCAGGTTTCTTCATTTATATCTATAATCACAGGATATGATGAAGCCTTTAGCTTTAGGAAAATTTCAGTTGGGATTTGTATTTAACAGCAAGCTTATCTTTGGTTTGGCTTTAAATGGATAGTAGGGACTGTGGAAGCCAGGTAGTAAGAGAAGCTCTGAATTACAGTAAAAGGTATGTCTCTCCCAGCTCTTCTTCCCTGTCTATAACATCATTTGGAAACTTCTCTTCTGCACAGTGTCACAGCCATTTTTTGGGTCTTGAACCACAGCCTAGTATTCAGAGTATCCATCCTTCTCCATATCTGGACTTCACTCTGACACTCCCTAAGCTCTCTTTCAATTTCTTTAGCTATGTACTTCAGTGAACTGCAAACAAACAGATCATTTTCCTGATGGTGATAAGGTGGTAATAGACTTTACTTCATTGCCTGGTGCCCTTCAGATATGCTTCCTACAAAACTCCTCAGCAGAACAAACACAGTTACTGAATTTGGTTACTGGTACACAATGAAATAACAGTGAAATAACATAGTTACATGGTTATAATATAGTTAAATCATGCAGCAAGTTGCACACAATAGAAAATGCAGTTAGGCAGAGAGAATGAAATTAAGGGTTAGAGGTAAAAGAGAGGATGTATCTTTAGATGTGATTTGAAATGAAAAGCAGACACCCCAGAAAGGACAAAGATGTCACCAGATGATGCCTGAAGAAGCCGCTTCTCTTGTCAACTAAAGCAAGACTGGGTAAGGACAGTGGGAAGGGCATGTTCAATTGGCTGTATAGCTGATCTCGCATAGCCCTCCTTTCCCCTCCACTGTGATCATACTGATTTAGTCCTTATTACCTCTTTCCTGGCCTTTACAATTGCTAAATAGCTGATCTTCCAGTTCTCTTCTGATTTATCCCACAAAGTACTGCCAAATCAATTGTCCTTTAACACCACTCTGATTATATCATTCTTCTCTCCCGAATCCGTCAAGGCTTCTCATTACTTACTGAAGTAGAGTAAGTAGCATTTCCTTAGCTTGGCATTCAAGGCTCTTTCTTCTA